GGATTTGAACTGCCAACCTTTTGGTTAGCAGCCAAGCTCTTAACCACTGCACCATCAGGGCTCCATTAGCCATTAGAGAGATGCAAATCAAAACTACAATGAGATGCCATCTCACCCCTGCAAAAATGGCAAAAACAGAAAACAACAAATGCTGACGAGGTTGTGGGGGGATTAGAATTCTGATATATGGCTGGTGGGATTGTAAATGGTACAACCACTGTGGAAAACAGTATGGCACTTCCTCAAAATGCTAGAAGTAGAAATATCTTGTGATCCAGCAATCCCACTTCTAGGTATATCCTAGAGATATAAGAGCAGTGACACGGGTAGACATATGCCACACCTATATTCACTGCAGTGTTATTCACAATAGCAAAAAGACGGAAACAACCTAAGTGCCCATCAACAGATGAATGGATAAACTGTGGTACATACATAAAATGGAATACTACACAACTATAAAAAATAATGAGTCCGTAAAACATAACATGAATGAATCTGGAGGACGCTATGCTGAGTGAAATAAGTCAATTACAAAAAGACAAGTACTGTATGGCCCCACTATTACAAAAAGTCAAGAATAGATATATACTCAGAAAGCAAAGTTCTTTGATAGTTATCAGGGATGGGAGGGAAAGGGAGGGAGAATCACTTTCTAGATAGTAGACACTGGTTACTTTTGGTGACAAGAAAGGCAATCCGAAATGAGGGTGAAGTCAGCACAACTTGACCAATGTAAATAAAGACATTAATAAGTACACGAGAAAAAGGGACAGTTTTGGTAAATGCTGTAACATATACAACTTTGCAACAACAGCAAAAACAACCAAAAAATATGTGTGTGGTTACATAGGTAGATATGGATGCATATAAGTGCATAGGAAGGCATATGCAAGTACATGCATGGGCATGTATAGGTGTTATCTGTAGGCATATCTATACACGTTTGTGTGTGTTACATATATATCCACGTATATAACAAACCACATAGGGGACACGGTTACAGAGGCCTCCTTGACATGTCCAAACAACTGGCGGGATTGGTTTACTGGGTCAAAAGGCTTGGGACCATAGTCTTGGGGAACAACTTAGTCAACTGGCATAACATAGTTCACAAAGATAA